GACCTGGGATTTCACCAGTGGGGATGCTCTTTCCACCAAGGCAGATTATAGTCTGTTGTAGAACAGAAGTTCTTAACCTAGGGTTAACCTATCAACTTGTTTTAAAAAATACTTTGTTAAACCGTAGTTCAATATAATTTTGGTTTCCTTTGTAACCCTTTGTATTTTATTTTTTTGCATTTAAATACAGTTTTCTGAGAAGGGGTCCACAGGCTTCACCAGATTGCAAAAAGGGTCCATGACACCAAAAAAATTAAACCCCCCTGCTCTACCTTATCTTTTAAAGCTGCTGGACAATAAGAGGGGTTATATGACATATCTATAGTTACATAACTAATGTATCAGAGGCTCATTTGAACCCGTTTTCTCATTTGGAGATGTAGCAGGGTGTAGGTAGCTCAGGCACTGGGTTTGGAATCAAGATCTGGCTTGAAATCCCACTTCTGGAAAGGATTCTGGGAAGATGGTGGAGTAGGTCAGAAAAATTTCAAGCTCTCAAGATTTTCCTCCACAAAAGAAATCAAATAGCGCCTCTGGGCGAACATAGAGCTGTGAAAACAAGTAAGAGTAGGGGCAAGAAGAGGGGTCCTTCAGGGACAAGTGGAGGAGATCTGAAGAAAAATCCTGGACAAGATTTCCTCCCGGTGAAGAGCAAACACCTCCAGGCCAGGGTCCACTTCAACTACAAGCAGACAAGCTGCTTAAACAAGAAGCCGCAAGCCTTGGGGTTAGCTGGATGGGAGGCTGCCTCAGCCCCAGCTACAAGAGCTTTTACCCCCAGGACATCGAGGGGAGTGGGGCATGTGACCTGGAGATCTAGGGAACCTCTGCTGACTAGGAATGCCAGACCCAGCTATGCTACGGAGATGTGGTGGGGGCAAGAAGAAACGAGCACACGCCTGGTGAGTGCAGAAGCAGTGGGGGTGGGGACGCCTCTGCTGTGGGCACTTACAGAACGCTGAAGGTCTTGGTTCGAGTTCAAAGTCAGAAGGGTGAACTGAAGAGGATTAGTGGCATCTCTCATACCCCAGGACTAGAGGTGATTATAAAAAAATGCACAGGCAAAGGAGAAAGAGTCCAACCACAGAGAGCTATTATGGGAATAGAGAAGATCGGGGTTTATCTTCAGAGGAGGATACTGAAACAAAGAAACCCTCTTCTACCCCAAAGAGTAATGTCAAATGGTCACCTACCCAAAGATAACTCATTGAAGAACTTAAAAAAGACTTTAAAAATCAAATGAGAGAGACTGAGGAAAAACTAAAAAGAAAAGTAAGAATAATATAAGAAAAACAAGATTATGAAAAGAAAGTTAACCAATTGGAACAGGAGATACAGAATGTTAAGAAAGAAAATGATTCCTTGAAAATCAGAATTGGGCAAGGGAGAAGCCATCGAAGTTGTAAAAGATGAAGAAATAAAAACACAAAGGATGAAAAAATACAAGAGAACGTGAAATATCTCATAAGAAAAGCAACAGATCTGTAGAACAGATCAAAAAGAGAAAACATAAGAATAATTGGACTATCTGAAAGTTCTGACGATTATTGCTTTGCAGTAAAATATAAGGTCTGGTACTGTTAGGCCCCCTTCCTTTCTACCTTTTTCATTCCCTTGAGATTCTTGACCTTTTTTCTTCTAGATGACTTTTGTTAATTTTTTCTTATAGCTCTATGAAATAATTTGATTGGTATGATATCGAATAAGTAAATTAATTTATATAATATTGTCATTTTTATTATATTAGCTCAGCCTACCTGTGGGCAATTATCATTTCTCCAACTATGTAAGCTTGTTTCTCCACTGTAAAGATTATTTTATACTTGTATTCCTATATGTGTATATCTTAGTAGGTAGACTTCCAGGTACAATATAAAGTCTGTAGTAATTAAATTGGAATTTTTCTATCTCTTCTTGCTGAGTTTTGTTGGTAATATACAGAAATGCTGATAATTTACATGGATTTATTTTATATCTTGCAACTTTGTTGAAGTTATTGTTTTGATTAATTTTTAATTGGCTTTCTAAAGTTCTGTAGTAAAACCATCATACCATTTTTCAAAAAAAAAGGTCTTTCTTCTTTACCTATGCACATTCAACTTCTTTTTCTTGTATTATGGTTACAGCTAGCATTTGTAGCACATATTAAAGAAGAGCAGTCATCCTTGCTTTACTTCTGATCTTATTAGAAACACTTCTAGTTTACTTCCCTTACATAAATTCTTGTTCTTAGTTTTAGAAAAACATACCTTAGCACGTTAAGGAAAAGTCCATTTTTCCTATGTTTTCTAGTTGTTTTTTTAAATAGGAATGGGTGTTATATTTTATCAAAGTTTTTTTCTGCATTTATTGATTTTTGTTGTTGATGTCATTAACATGGTACATTTTGTTGACAGTTTTCCTATTATTGAGCCAATCTTGAATTTTTTTTTTTTTTTGGTGAGGCAATTGGAGTTAAGTGACTTGCCCAGAATGACACAGCCAGTGAATGTTAAAAGTGTCGGAGGTCACATTTGAACTCAGGTCCTCCTGACTCCAGGGCTGGTGCTCTATCCACTAAGCCACCTAGCGCAGCCCCAAACCCTGAACTTCCAGTATAATCAAACCTCCATCACAGTGTATAATCTTTGTGACATGTCGCTGTAGTCACTTTGCTTATGTTTTATTTAAGTTTTTTGCTTCAATACTCATTAGCAATATTGGTGTTTAGTTTTCCTTCTGTTCTGACTCTCTGGTTTAGACGTCATATATGTTATGTTACATCACATCATACATATTAGGACTACATTTGAATACTTTTATAGACCCTTCTTTCCTATTTTTTCAAATAGTTTTTGTAATACTGAAATTAACTATTTTTTGAAATGTTTGCTGGAATTTGTTTGTAAAATCATCCGCCCCCCCCCCCTTTTCCCTTTGGGAGCTTATTCAATTTCCCCTCTTTCTTTTCTAATCTTTGCTTTAAAGGATGGCTTTCTGGATGAGGGAGTGAGGGACATGTTGTGAAATAAAGGTGACATAAAAACAAAAGATACAAATGGTTTTTAAATCGTCTTAAAGAACATTAGATGTGACAGTCAGAACTGAGTTTTCCTTCTTGATTAACCAATTGCTAGGAAATCAGCGTAAAGGTGGAAGGGGCCGTAACAATCATCTGTTCTAACCTGTTACCACCATTTTGCAGAAGAAACTAAGCCTCAAGAGAGATGAAGCTTCTGCCCAGTGTCACACAGATAACAAGTAGAAGAGTCATGATTAAAACCTAGGTCCTCTCCAGCACTTATTCTATAGTATCACTAACCTACTTTAGGCTTCAGTTTTTTCATCAGGAAATCTGGATATTAACGTTAAGTGGTCTCTAAAGGCCTTCCAGCTCTAACACCTATGATCCTATGACTATACAGTAGCTAAGATCCCCTCATATGTCCATTTCTTTTTCTCACCTTTCATTTTTGATATTTTGTGATTCTAGGAAAGTGTTGGGAGGAAATAGTTGGGATTTTTATGGCAGATATCATTACCTTATATTTCTTCCCCAAAGCCACCCTTTTTCCAGATGTCCCTATTACTAGGGAGGTCACCAACATCGCAGGCTCTCCTGACAGTATTATTTCTAATTCCTCACCTCATATATCCAATCTATCACTAAATCTTGTCACGTCTATCTCCATTTTTTCTCACATGTCCCCTTTTCTCCAGTCCTACTGCTACCAGTTAAGTTCATGCTACATCACCTCTCATCTGGACCATTGCAATAGCCTCCTCATTGATCTTTCCAGTTGTCCTCCATGTAACCACCAAAGTGATTTTCCTAAAGCCCAGGTCATTCCCTTATTCAGTAAATGTCACTGGCTCCCTATTGACTCTAGAATATATTTTTTCATCTTTAACTCCTTTTAAAATGTAAATGACAGGATAAAATGATAGGCTTGGGTTAGCTAAATAGCTCTATCAGCCCATGAGTTGCCATCACCTGTTAAATCTAGTATAAATTTTTCTTCTGGCATTCAAAGTCCTTCAAAGTTTATCTCCAAACTACCTATCCAACACTACCTCCCACTATGCCTTTTCATATACTCCATTCCCCAGCGAACTCCACTGCTGTTTCCCAAAAACGTGGCTTGTACTTTCCAGACTTCCTCTTAGGCTTTGTCCACTTGATTCCATCTTCCTGGAATGTCCTTCTACCAATCAATCAACATGTATTTATTAAGTGTCTACTACATAGCTGGCATATCTTGTAGGTAGTGTGGGGGTATAAGTGCAGAAAATGAAACAAGCCCTAGCAATGGAATACTACCAGACCATAAGAAATTATGAAGGGGATCATTTCAGAGAAAGCTAGGAAGACTCTATATGAGCCAATGCATAGTGAAGTGTGCAGAACCAGGAGAACAATTTATTTGATAATAACACTGTAAAACCAAACAACTCTGAAAGACCTTTAGAACTAGGATCAGTACAATGACCAACCATGAGTCCAGAGGACTAATGATGAAATATTCTACCTATCTCATGACAGAAAGGTGATAGGACATAAGATGTAGAATGAAACATATCTTTTGGACAGAGACAATGAGAGAATTTGTACTTTATGACCAGCACTTGGTGAGGAAACTCCCAACACTAATGCAGATCAGCATCTGCTCCCCTATAGTATTAGAAAGTTGCTCAGGCTCGCTCAACCAGTAGGTACCAGAAGAGGTCCCGGGACGCAAGGCTTCAGGACTCTGAGGGTCCTGTTTACTACACACACTACGTTGCCCCAAATGTGGGTGCAGCGGGAAGGCTAGGGTGAGCTGCCTCTTTCCCGCCCGGCAGAATCCCACTGTGTAGGAAGCGCACTACTCCGGCCTCGGTCTGTGCCGAGGGCTCACGGTAAAGGGTTCTGGCCTCCTGGCGCAGGGGGAAAAATAGCTCTGGTCTCAGCGCGCCGAGTAATCCCGGCCCAGGAAGGAAGAAGGGATTGCACCGAAGGCTGCAGGACTCCACTCACTTACCAGCGTGAAATGCACCAGGGCGTCATAGCAGAGCCAGACCAGCGTCCAGCGGTCAGGAGAGCTCGCCCCGCGGCCCAGGCGGCTGCCCAGCGCGTAGCCCACCGCCAGCTGCGCGGCACACAGGAGCAGCGAGCCGGCCGCCGCCGGGCTGCTCAGCTCCGCGGGCCACAGGCTCATCGTGGCCAGCCCGCAGATCCGCTCCCAGGGAGAGAGAGGAGTGGAGATGCAGGAGCAGGGGAAGAGTCGGGGAGAGAGGCAGGGAGGCTGGGGGTAGAAAGGAACCAGGAGAGAAGGAGCGAAAGCCTGCCCCGAGAAGCCCGCCCCAAAGAGGAGGGGCTGGGGAAGGAGAGGGAAGTAGATAGGGACCCGCCACACAGGCTCGGGAAGGGCCACAGACGGGTTTTTTCGTCTTTGTTCTCTCTTCTCCCTCCCTTCATCTCGCCTGATTTACCTTTCAAGTTCCTTCCCACAATGTATGTACTTTGAAGAATTCAATAGGGGCGGGGAAGGGAGGAAAGACGGTTTGTTTTTGTTTTGTCCTTGTCCACACTGGTTCTTGGGTTGACGCCTTCCCAAGCTTTTTCAAAGGCCGCCAGTGGGACCCTAGGCAAAATGGTGGGATAGACGAGACCTGGTAATGGAAGGGGCTGTACAGTAGAAGAGGGATTCCTTGTTCTTTTTGGTAAAAACGGAGGCAAAAATCAGGTGGCTTTGCCAAGAGGTCAGTTTAGCCTTGATCGTAAGAAAAAGTTTTCTGACAATTAGAGCATGCAAAACTCTAGGAACAGGCTGGAAGAGTAGTGGGTGAGAGGTGGAAGTCTTAAAGCAGATGCAGAATGGCCATTTGTGGGCTACGCATGCAGTATGACCGGGATAAGAACTCTATGCTTCTATGCTTCGTGACCCGAGTCTTCCAGCCTCAGATTGCCTTCCTGTCTCCCCAGGGCCCTCATGGTTTGTCTCCTCCATCTCCCCTTCCTGTCAGAAAATGCTCTTTAGGATCTTAGTTGACACTCATTTGGAAATAACTGGGGGAGTGAGAACGACTTAAAACTTTGACATCATCAGCAGACATCTAATTAAAGGACTAAATCCCCGATTATTGCATTTCAAATAACAACTGGGAGGTGGGAAGAAGCACGGGAAAGAAGGTCCAAGGTTCAGTTTCCTTGGCCAGAAAAATCCTTTCATCCAGCGCTCTCTGCTCCCAACACCATTTCAAGTTTAGAAAAGTAGCTTTAAAATATTGGTTACAATTGGTGACAGTGGGGGCAGCTAGATGGGGCAGGTTGAATTCAAATGTGGCCTCAGACACTTGACACTAGCTGTGTGACCCAAGGCAAGTCACTTAACCCCAATTGCCTCAGCAAAAACAAACAAAAAACCCCAAACAATTGGTGACAGTGGTAAAACCAAGTGGGCCTTGCACATATGTTGGGATTGCCAATCCCTATAGATGCCAGTAGTGTTGAGTAATGCTGGGGTAGGGGGAGGAGGGGAGGTAGTGTTTGAGGGGATGGTTAGGATTAGGGAAAAAATGAGTCTCATTTATATTGTGCTGTAAGGTTCACAAAATGCTCACAGCCATTATCTCATCTGAGCCCCACAAACAGGTGTTATGGATACCTTTACTGCCATAATAGAAAAATAAAGAAGGAAAGAGAGGTGAAAGGGGCAGAGGGAGAAGTTTCTTAGAAGCACAGTGCTTACAGTGCTGGACTTGGAATCAGGAAGAGTCATCTTCTTGAGTTCAAATCTGGCCTCAGACACTAGCAGTATGACAGGCAAGTCATTTAACCTTGTTTGCCTCAGTCTCCTCTTCTGTATAATGGGCTGGAAAAGGAAATGGCAAGCCACTCCAGTATCTTTGTCAAGAAAACCCCAAAATGGGCCACAAAGAGTCAGACACGACTAAAACAACTGAACAACAAAACAGTAGAAGGGTAAAGGCTGCAGTACATTGTAATGAAAATAATGTGAGATTTGAAGTCATAAAACCTGGGTGTGAATCCCAGTGTTGGGGCTTCCTAGTGTGAAGAATGGAATGAAAAACATTCAGCACCAGCAGCAACGAGCCAAGCACAGAGAAACCAAAAGGAGATGGTCCCTGCCCTCAAGGAACTTACATTCTAATGGGTGAGAGCTATTTACTTCTACTGAGTTTACAATAGAAAAATCAGCTTACCAGATCTAAAGGATCCAATAATTCAGCCACTCACTCTTCACTGTGTATTGGAAAGATCTAGAGCCAGGATAATTGATTGGCTAGAGTACTGGTCCTGGAGTCAGGAAGACCTGGGTTCAAATCCTGCCTTAGTTATGTGACCTTGGGCAAGTTACTCACTATTGGCCTCAGTGTCCTCAGCTGTAAAATAAGGGGATTGGGCCTTGATGACCTTAAGATCCCTCTCAGTTTCTAAATCTATGACACTACAGTCATCCCTTCCACATGGAGGAGGTTAGGGGTGCACACCCCCTCAATCTGGAAAATCCATGTAAAATTTTTTGACCTTCCCTTCGTACCAAAGAAGAAATCTGAGTTTTTCTTTCTTTTTCTTTTATGGGGTGTTAACAGTACTTATTGTAAAATTTAGGTTGCTATTATACAATACTGCATGTATATTTTTGCATCCCTGAGTTCCTAAACTTTTTCTATGTCACCTGATGGCCTTTACATGTCATCTCCAGCTTCTGCAAGACTCTCCCCCAAAATGCTCATTTAATTTTTAATATCAAAACCGAGATGGGGAAAGTCTCGAAGTGGAAGGGATAACTGTATGATCTCTAGGCCAGTAGTTCTGAGTACTGGGTTCTAATTCTAGCTCTGTTGCTAACTGGCTGGATAATCTTGGGTAAGTTATTTAATTTCTCTCTTGGTTTGTAAAAGGAGATAGATAAGTAGATACAACTGCCTAAATGAGACGTTACCCCAGGACAGTGATGCCAAACTCAAATAGAAATAGGATGCATTTTGTCTTAGAAAATCACAGATTAACATTATTTGTGTTGTATTGTATTTTTGTTTATTTTGTTAAACATTTCCCAATGACATTTTAATCTGGTTGGGCATGTGTAAGTTTTGCAAGCATCCATTGGGCCTGAGTTTGACACCTCTGCCCTAGGATGTCTAAATGGTGCCCCAAACTTAATATGTCCACAACCGAGCTTAGTATATTTCTTTCCAAGCTATCCAGCTTCTTCACTTTCTGTCTGTGACACTACAACTCAGTCTCACACAGTGTAGTTACTGGTTTCATTGTTGACCCTTTCCTCTACCTTATCTTTCCTAGCCAATTACTAAGTCTTCTTGGTCAGCTAGTTGGTGCAGGCCTGGAGTCAGGAAGACATCTTTCTGAGTTCAAATCTGGCCTCAGACACTTATGAGCTATGTGTCCCTGGGCAAGTGACTTAACCCTGTTTGCCTCAGTTTCCTCATCTGTAAAATGAGCTGGAGAAGGAAATGGGCTACCTCCCCCCCAAACCCAACTAAACCCAAATGGGGTTACAAAGAATTGGACACAACTGAACAACTTGATTATACCTCTGCAACATCTTTTGAATCCACCCCAGTTTTTCTATCCTTACTGTCCTTGTTCTAGCTCAGGCATTCATTACCACCCACTCATACCAGATCTTTGGGCCAAATCTGGGAACTAAGAATGGCTTTTACATTTAAAAATTAAAGTTTTATTGTGGTCAGATTTGGCTCTGGTCCCTTGTTTGTTGACCCCAGACCTAGATTGTTAACAACAGCTTCCTAGCAGCTTTTATAGCCTGGCTCATAGATCCAACACACTGGAAAAGGCAGGAGTAAGCAGGCTCTTTTCTTCTCATTGCCTCTTCCATAATGCCCTTCTATTACCATTATTCACTTCATCCACGTAGAGGGTATCCCAAAAATCTTAGTGCAGTTTTAAACTTTAACAACTTTAGAAGCATAATGCTATAAACTTATGAAACAAAATCATTTGAAAATTTATTTTCATTTTTATACTCCTTTAGTTTTTTGAATTTTGAATAGCAACATTTTAGTTTTAATAAGATTGAGCAACCTGTCATACATTGCATATGCAAGTTTCTGGATGACACTTTTTTAGACTGGTGGATCCATAGGAGGTCCTTAATTACCTAGTCTACATCCATTTTTCTCATGGGGTCATGTCAAAACTTGCGTGCATCAAAACCTCCTACTTTGGATGATTTTAAGGCTAGGGTTACAAATGCCATCCTTTTAGTGACTGAGCTGATTAAAGTTTTATAAAGTTCAAAATTAGTTCTAGAGCACAAGATAGTGGTACGGTTGAGGAATAACAAGAAAGACATCAGTATTTCAAAATTTTCATAGTTGAAGTTGCCAAAGTTTAAAGCTAAACTAAGACTTTTGTAACACTCTATATATCACCCTACCCAGATGTTGGCAGAAGTTAGCTGCTGGCTACCAGGTCATTTGCCCTCCTTTCTTGTGTTCTGTACCTAACTCTTAGGCTTTCTCTTTACTCCAGCACTGGTTACTGTACTTGAAGACTTCAACATACATCTTAATCTTCCCTAAAAAACACTTGCTTCCCAGTTCATCAGTTCTTCAATTTCCATTAGCTATGCCTTCATCCTACTTCAACAACAAATAGGACTGGTCATACCCTGGATTTCATCACGAGTCCCCTTGTGTTTGACCTTCATAGTCTAGATCTGAAATCGTTATCCACCACTTCCCATTCACCTCTCCCTCTGAGTTTTACATCCCTCTGAAATTCATTCTCCATCCTCATCCTACAACTGCTTTGTTGATCATTTGGATTCTCATTTGCTTTCCTTCAAAATCTTGATAGTTAAAGAGTTTAATTGTGTGCTGTTTTCTTGCCATTTAATTCCTTGCTGCTCTGTCTTAACATTCTCCATCCCTTTCCAAACTTCGGCCTTGGATTACCCTCACCATGTAAGAAGGCATACAATCAAACTAACTGGATCCGCTGCTGTAAGCCACTTCGTTTACTTCTCCCTGGTTGAGTGTTTTTCTGCATTCTCCACGGTGTCTATTCTCTCCTCCAATAATTGATACCACCCTTTTGCCCTTCCCTCTCATGAGCACTTCACCTCATATTCACTGGAAATTTGTGGCCATCTGTTTGAGCTCCTCATTTCACACCCCAAATCTGTTCTATATCGTTCCCAATTTTTTCTTCCTCTACTACAGTCTCAGAGGAAGAGGAGGCTCTTACCCTTGCCAAAGGCTTGCTAACTCTTCCATGTATGCCCTTGGTCCCATTTCCTCTCATCTTCTCCACAAGCTTGCCACTTTATCACTTCCAAATT